CCTCACCCCCTAAACCCTAAACCCCCAAACACTAAACCCTTATAAACCCTAAACCCTAAACCCCTAAACCCTTATAAACCCTAAACCCTAAACCCTTATAAACCCTAAACCCTAAACCCTAAACCCCTAAACCCCCAAACACTAAACCCTGAACCATCCTTAGACCCCTTAACCCCGAAAAGCTATAACATGCTGGCACCTCAAACCCTATACAACTCTCAACATAGTATAGGGGGCCCCAATAATTACATCTACTACTTTGGGGGGGGGGGGTCATTATGCTATTTATAGCAAAATGGGCCCCAAAACCCTATTCTAATTATTAAGGCCCCTACATTCCCGAAGCCGTGAACCCGATGAGGTTGGGGAGCTACAGCTACCTCGAGGACGCTTCCTCCGAGGCCCGGCTAGGCACTCCTTGTCATCTTCACGCTCAAGCCCTGCCTAGAGTTTCCATTTGCAGTTCCTTTTCCTGGTTAACCAAACTTGTGCGCAAGGATCCTACGCATGAAACTGACTGGTTAACCAAAAAAGGAACTACAGTGGAGACTACAGGTCAACCCTAAACCCCAAACCCTAAATCCTAAGCCCTAAACCCTAAATCCCTTAACCCCTAAACCCAAAACCCTAAAACCCTGAAGCCGTAAAGCCCTTAAACCCTAAACCCTTAAACCCTAAAACCCTAAATCCCTAAACTCCAAAACCCTAAACCCTAAAACCCTAAACCCTAAACCCCACAGAGCGCACGAGGTCAAAGCCCGGAAAAGCGAAATCACCAAGGCTGTGGTGGAACTCAAGGCAATCTCGCTCGGAGAGATGTGGGTTCTCGGGGGTAGGCTTAGGGTTTAGGGTTTAGAGTTTAGGGTTTAGGGGTTTAGGGCTTTTGGGGGTAGCTTAGGTTTTAGGGTTTAGGGTTTAGAGTTTAGGGTTTAGGGTTTAGGGTTTTGGGGTTTATAGGGTTTAGGGGGTTTTAGGGTTTGGGGTTTAGGGCAGGTTAGGTGTTTTAGTGACAGTTTTGGTGTGCAAAGGGTTATTCGGAGGGGGTGTTTGGGGTTCAGGATTTTAGCGTGCTGGGTTTTGGTGGAGCTCCCGCAGCTTCCGATGATTCACGATCTCCCTCCTAAACCCTAAACCCTAAACCGTTTTAAAGAAAACAAACCTGAACCCGAAACGCTAAACCCTGAACCCTGCACCCTGAACCCCAAACCCTAAAACCCAAACCCAAAACCCTAAACCGTCTGTGATTTTCGGAACGCTCCCAGGCCGCTGCAGAAGCGGCGCACGCGAGCCCGGTGCTGGGCATCTATGGGATTTCCAGGTTTGGACTTTAGGGTTAGGTATAGGGTTCAGGGGTTTCGGGTTAGGGTTTAGGCTTTAGGGGTTTGGGGTCTAGGGTTTAGGGTTGCGGGGTTTAGGGTTTAGGGTTTACCGGTTTGGGGTTCAGAGGTTGGGGGCTTAGGGTTTAGGATTTAAGGTTTGCAGATCTATCTCTCTCTCTCTCTCTCTCTCTCCTTTTGTCTGTCGGAGGCTGAGCCTCCATCCGTCCGTTCGTCCATCCATGAATCGGTCTGCCTGTCTGCCTGTCTCTCTCCTCAAGGACATTTTCAGGTGGGTAGTTGCCGTTATAGGAGCCTTGTATAGGTCCAAATACCTTATAGAAGCCCTATATAACCCTAAACTCCCCACCTGTTGTTTCCTTTA